CACTCTTCAGTTGTTAATACATGCTAACATGTTGCTCAAGTTCTCTGGTTTTTATTCTGATAGGGGGCTTAAAAGTATGCTACAGTTTATACATTGGACGTCTGCCAAAAATGCAGTAAGTACCCACCATATCAGCAGCGGATAAGGTGGGTTTAAAAAAGATATATGTTAGCTTATCCTGAGTGGCGCCTACCACAAATGAATTAAGACGGGTGTGTCTGTCCTATAAAGCTGTCCTGTTTGCACTATAATTATTATGGAGAGAAAGTTGTACCCGTCACTTCAATCTGGACAAAAATCCTTCCATTTTTGTTTTTATCTGTGCTGCGCGGCTCATTCAGACTTTAGAGTGCTTTAGAAGCAAGATGGAGGGTGAAGAAGACATCACGATGACTCTACTGTTATTCATGGGCGAGGCACTCGCGAAGTATGAGAAGGAGGTGGTCGACGCGCGCGAGGAGGTCTTTCAGCTCATAATCAAGGAGGAGTGGCGGATCGCTATGCGATCGCAGCACTACCTCACCGTGAGCTGCCTCGACAAGCCCAACGAGTCCGCCTGGATGTCCTTGTACACGTCGGGGAACGACAAAAATTTTTTAAACGCAACGAGTCTAACAAGGTAAGAGCCTCTTCTGAGCTTTGTTCGTACAAATAGAGGTGTTAACTATCTACTGGTAATGCAGAGCTTCTTTCTCCCGGTTGCTACGACGGTTCGCGCGGTTCTACAAGATCCTGCCGCCTTCATCGCGCGGCCGCCCACCCAAGCTTCAGTATCTTCACCAAGTCCTGGGTCTCGTCCTGTGCTACTACGTTGGATCTATGGAGAATAGCACGCTCAGCATGCTGTTTGGAATGCCGCCGAGCACTTTGAATCGAACGCTCAGGAAGGCTGAGGAGGCTTTGGCGGTGGCGTTGAGCGGATTCAGTCCGGCCCGCATCGCGTGGCCGTCCCCATCCCGGCAAGTAGAGCTGGCACGTCTGGTTGAGGCTCGGGAGCCATTGCTGAAAACAACCTTTGGCTTCATTGACGGGAAAAATCTGCGGGTAAGTACTTACGATTGCCAAGGAGTTTGTATTATCTCTTTAATATCTAACTATAACTATTGGCACTTTTAGGTGATGCAGCCATCGAACGCCGATCTTCAAAATGCCATGTACAATGGCTGGTTGCATGCGGTCTTCGTCACAGGGACGATCTGCTTTGCTGCAGATGGTTGCATCATCTGGAGCCGGCACAACTGCCCGGGCTCGTGGAACGACGCTGACACTTCGCTCGGCTTCAGAACCAAGCTTCTTGATCCTACATTTTGCCCAGACCCACGAATGAACGTCGTCTCCGACTCAGCATTCCCATGCTCGACGGAGATGACGGGGCGCATCTTGACGCCTCTCAAGGAAGGGGATATCGAGCGTATCCAGCCTGGACTCCGAAGCGCAGCACGTACGCTGCACAATGCAATCATCTCGGTGCGCCAGGCCGCGGAGTGGGGGATGGGGAGTATCCAGAAAGTCTATAGTCGCCTCAACCTTCCGCTTCCCTACGATCCCGAGCTCCGTGGTCTGCGCATCAATAACATGTTCCGAATCGTAAATTACAGAGTGCGCACGGTTGGTATCTCACAGATACGTACTACGTTCAGTGGAGAGATGGAAATGCATTTGACGACGCAGTAATTTGAAGACATGCATGGATGTATTCGTTCGAGTTAACTGGGACTTGAGATGAATGAAATGCTGGATATGAAGGAGCTCGTTCGATTCTGATCGTTCCGGTTCGCCGAATCTCTAACTTACAGTGTTGGATTCCGTGTGCTTGCTTCTTGGTCGCGTGGATAGTGACTATTTGCGGCCGTCCAGAAGATCTCCTACTCTGCTTTCTTCAATACCCCAAGCAGCATTGCCAATTCTTGCGTACGAGCTCGCGCCTCCTCCCTGTCACGGCGGGCGCGCTCCTCTCTTTCCAGATTGTCCTGCCGGCGACGTTCTTCAGCCTCTCTCTTCTCAACTTGATAGCGTTCTTCACGGGCAGCCACTTCATCACGACGGCGTTGTTCTTCGTCAGCACGCCGCGTTTCAGCCTTCATCTCGTTCTCCTCTCGCAAGAGGAGAACCATCTCCATTATACTGCCACTAAGACCAGATGAGACGCTCTGGATAGTGCTGAGCTTCTGACTGAGCACCTCTGTTGCCCGTTGAGCTCTCACACGCTTCGTCTTGGCGAAGCTAGCTTCGGCACTGTCCAGATCGCCGTCTTCGGTGGATCGCTTAGACCACAAACTGTCACGAAAAGCACGCAAGTCCCCGCCTCCGAGGCGGTTTGAAGACGCCTGCAAGTTGCTGTCGCTAGTGATACGTGTACGACCCGCTTCAGTGGGCTTGGGTTGCTGGATAGTTCCTGTTCTTGCAGATTTTGGCTTGTTGTTGCTCGTGGTACGAGGCTTCTTGGGTTTACGCAGACCGGCAGAGCGGAGGGTGCGCGTAGGAGCTGCATCTGAAGGTGACGGGTTGGTTTGAGCTGGAGGGGTAAATGCTTCCAAACCCTCCACACCAACACGCACGTCTAAATGCGATAGCATCTCTCCGCTGTTCACAGCTCGCATAGCTTCACCATCATCGAAAGGTTTAACTCCTTCGGACCCCGTCGGAGCTTCATTACCGACGAAAGCTGAAAACGAACCCCCACTCAGCGCAGCAGATCCATCTCCACCGCGGTCGTGAAAGAGTGTGTCCTCGGACACGTAGTCGAAGCTGAAGTCAGGCGAGATAGGGCGATCGTCCTCCAGCTCTTCATCCTTCTCTTGGTCGGGCTCATCGTCACTGTCTTCATCCGCGCAGTCGTCCATTTCGATGACGCTGGCCTTCTGGTCCACGGCCCTCTTCAGCTCTTTGGCGCGGTCGATATGCGGAGGAATGTTGCCCTTTCCGGACGGCTTTCGAGCTCCGTACATCGCCTTGAATTTCCGACGAATGCTATCAGTGTCGCGCTCGTTCCAGCTCCGCGGGCGAGTCGCGTTGTAGTCGTTTGTCAACCGCTCCCATTCGTCCTTCCCGAGCGGGAGATATTTCTCGACGAGCTGCAGCAGGCGATCCACCTCCGCCATCTTGTAGTTAGAGCTTCCAGATTGTTTGCCCATGGTCTTCGCGAAGCTTGCGCACTAGTAGCCTTGGTCGTTGTTGGTGAGAGGCGGTTGTTGAACTGGACCCGAATTCAAAAGTGAGAGTCCAGGACAGCAGCAACCACAGTTCGTTAAAGTCGCGTTTGCCTCTAGTTCCTCCTTCGAGCACTGCAGAGCTGCTCGTCCAACCAAAAACCAAACTTTGGACGATCACACCAGCTTCAAGGCGCCAAAACATCGCGCCTGCTCCTGCTAAGCTTCTGTGTACCGAGCCGATGGGTGTCAAAGCCCTTTGGCGCGCTGGTGAGCCCCAGCTTCGCGCGAAAACGAGCGGTTTACAAAGTGCGACTCTTTAAGATACCTTTATTAGCTTCTAAGATCTTTGATTTTCTTGAAAACGTCGTGAAAACTCATAGCAGTATATTAAGAAATGTATGAACATCGAAAGACGAGCTTATCGAGGCGTAGAAGCATCATCTGCCACTTTGGCGCGCTTTACGAAAGCATCTTCTCCTCTCCTCGTCGTTTCATGGGTCGCAGAAACCTTGAATATCACGGTGGCGACAACCGGCGCTTCCACAACGGCACACGAACCATAGGTCGTCACCATAGTCAGCGGTGACTTCCTGTCCGCGGCGGATCGGCTCGCGAAGGTGGGCCACTTGATGGGGCCAACGTGCCGGCACAAAGACGTCGCTAGTACGGGATGAACCCAACCTCGGTCCGCTAGACTCCACATTAGCTGGACGGATGGATCCGCTGGGGTTTGTGACAGGCCGGTCTTCTTGACGGCCAACAGTACGATCTCGTGAGTACGGATCCGCTTCTTCACGGCGCGCTTGACGACGCTCAACCGCTTTTGTCCGAGTGGTCGTCAGCGGTGACGGCCGTGGTGTTGCGTCTTCCAGCAGCACGGGTGATGAGGTGGTTGGGCTTGCCACTGTTCGAGGGTGTCGTAGGGGAGAAGCTTCCGTCTCCGTCGAAGACTGCGAAGCTGGAGGTGGGTTGGACTCGGCTTTTGAGTAGCCAAGCTTGCTGAACCCCGGTGGCATCCACGACGGTGTTGCAGTCCCAGTAGAGCTCGTGTCGTCACTGCTCTTGTCGCTGGAGCTCTTTTCGCTGCTTGGGTTAGTCTTGGATGTGCTCGCACGCGCAATATTAGGCGGTGTGTTCTCGTCTTCGCTTGTGGGCGAGTCCATGATACAGCGAAGCTTCCAATGTAGCGCAGAGTGAGTGAGATGGATCATATCTGCTAGGATAAGAGTATTTATAATTAATGTATCACAAAAGCACGTTATAGTCTATAGCCAACCCACCTGTTGCCTCCAAGGGCAGAATCAAGACTGACCGCCGCCTACAGAAATCGCAGAAAAAGATATATGTCACTACAGAGTGACGGATGTTGCAGAGGAGTGATGGTCATATTAAACAATACAAATTTGTAGTACAGCGTTTAAGATGGGTACATGACTTATGTGTGAAGGACGCAT